GAGACACTAGGTGGGGAGTGTGATATGATATGGCAAATCACTTTCGCAACTAAGTAGAAGATAAATTCAACCGGGGAGAAACTTGAGACTGAGAGACCAAGCAGAAGCCTCTAACAATAGGCTGGGCCTGAGGTGATGATGATCTGCACCAAGACTGGGGCTTCGTGAATAGAGAAAATAGAATATATGTAAGAGATGCTGTAAAGTCAGAAAAGGCAGAATCTGACCATAGATTAGATATGTGGGTTGAGTGTGAGTGAGGAGTTGAGAATGACAGATTGTAAGACGAGGTGATTAGTAGAATGATGGTACTTTCATTGGTAGTAGGAGAGTTGGGAAAAGGAGAGGGTTTGGGGCAAAAGACAAGTTCTGTTTTGTACATCTTGAGTTTGAGATGTTTGCAGGACATCTAGTTTGAAGCATTCAAAAGATAGTTGGTGATGTGAGAATGTGGTTTGAGGGGCAGTTGGTGGCACAGCGGATACAGCACCTGCCCTGGATTCAGGAGGACCTGAGTTCAAATCTGGCCTCAGACACATAACACTTACTAGCTGTGTGACCCTGGGCAAGTCACTTAACCCCATTGCCTAACAAAAAGGAAAAAAAGAGAATGTGGTTTGAGAGAGAGATTGGGGCTGGATAGAAAGCTGAGAATCGAGTGTATACAGACAATAATTGAATCTATGGGACCTGAGGAGATCACCAAGGTAAGTAGTAGAGAGAGAGTAGAGAAAAGGTCCAGTATGGGGTCTTGGCAAGAGGGTCACTCACATTTAGACATGACCTGGATGAAGATCCAGCAGGAAAAAAAGTGCCATAAAGATGCAATCAGTAACACCTCTCTGACATCAAACTTTTCCTGGCATCCATTCATTTGGGTTACCTTATAATTAAGCATCCTTATAGGCAAAGTCCTTCAGTAATGAAATTCTTCTGATGGGGTGTATGGGATGTTCAGGGAGAACTATCATCTCAGGTGTGAGGGCTTGTTGAGTCTTTTTCAGGGCTGCTCATCCATCTTTGGTGCCTACCTGTCACCCAACTCTCACCCATGGCTCCAAGAAGCTGTAGCATGTGCAATGGTCACACTCCTGTGAAACCATCTTGGCACACAGGCTAAACCAGTATGAGGGTAACTGACAGTCTTCAAACCTATTGGTGAGTTGTGAGGGGAATGTCTCCAAATGTGTGAAGACTTCCCCTGGTGGAATGGGTAGATGAGAATAATTTTTCTAATGGCCATGAAAGTGGCTGAAGCAGGTGCTGTGAAGCACGTAGAGCTTGGTCAAACATTGACGATGCAGAGGTCATTTACTGAATCCTGGGCCATAGCCAGGACTCCTGACTTTTGATCTTGCCACTGGACTTTGATGACTCTGGAAGAGAGTGAGGCTGATGATTTTGTGAAATTCTGACTCACTTAAAATCAATTCATGAGCAATTCAAGACATCACTCCATTATGTCATTGGTCCTCTTCAAAAAATGAAGATGAATTACAACAACAAAGAAACTCTTCTGATAGATTTTCAAGGAACATCCACATTCCTTATAATGAATTTTTCTTTATTGTAAACAGTATTATTCAACAAGCTGTCTGTTACTCCATGGCTAGCGCATTCATACACTAGTAATAGAACTACAAATTCTAAGAAGGATTAAAATAAAGTGTACTTCAAACTAAAGCTATTCAGTACGTGTTTGGGGTTTGTCACAAATAGTACATTTCTCTAATGAATCGGAGTTTGGGATTTCTTTGTGAAAAAAGGTCCCCAGTTATTATTCTTTGTACCCCTATTCTGGTACTCAAAGAAGGCCAAACACTACTGTGTTTGCTTTTAATAAGAACACTATGTGCTGTTGGACAAGCTTAGTCTCTGTGCATCTTCACAGAATGTACTGAAATGAAGCCAATCTGGTTTGTTTAATCAATTCAAACAGCCAGATCACCCATATGACCACAAAATCCATGTTAAGGCCTGAAGCATTTATTTTGTCAATTGACATTGGCCAGCTTCACTGGATGGCTGCCAAATATTAACTTCGCTTATGTATGGTTTCAAGACCTGGAGTGAAGTGTGGAAGGAGGAGATTCTGGGAAGGTGCCATGGAACTGTGGAATGAAAACTAGCCTGGGCATCAATACAATAGCCTGGTTTCACATCTTTGCTATTCTACTGCATCTATGTGAGACTGGATAAGTTATCTCACCTCTTGGATCCTCAATATCTCTATCTGCAAAATGAAGGCATTAGATCAGATGATTTCTAATGTCCCTTTCATCTCTCATGTTATTCTAAGCTCTTCATTGTTTTAAGTATCATTATCTTGACTGACACTGATTCAATTCAGCCAAATTCCTCATATAGTAGATCTGCAGAGAGTATTCAAATGACTGAAATGAAAGCATCAGCTGTGTCTGATCTTTTCTCTTTGCTAATAGAGACATGAAGTAAGTGTGACCAGGGAAAAAGAGTCACTCAGTGGAGCAGAACCAATGATGGTGAGGGCCTCAGAATACACTAAATGAGGGACTCATTCTTTCATGACACAGATAGAAGAATCAAAATCCTTGCATCTGCAGCCTTTCAGTAGTGATTTAAGAAGCCTAATCATCCTTAGGCG